CCACTATGCAGAGGGTGGATGCAGCGTCGGCAATATATGGATTTTTAAGCCCAAAGCGTCGCCGGCCATTTTAAAGATGCGTCGCCGGGTAATTTTTAATGAAAAGCCATTTACGCTGAGTAATGACGAACTATTTACAAGCCACAAACTTATTACAAGGTTGCATGCACGTGTTACCCTAAATAACTAAAATAACTAATTTTACCCTAAAAACAGTTCTGTTGTACAGCAAGTGTCAACTGAACAAGTAATAAAGCAGTCTGACCGCTCTAATGCGACCAAAACTATGCAATCGAAAAAATGTTGTTACATTTTTTGCGGGAACTCATCGCAACTGATTTCCGGACAAGCTTCGCTGCATCGTAATCAATCCAACGTACCGGAAACCTTACTTTTTTCTAAATAGTTGGCTAAAGACTGAGAAATATATTAAAAGCAAGAATTTCAATCTAAATGTGTCGGCAAGATCTTCTGAAGGCGAAAATTTTGCTGATAATGTGTCGCCGTAGGTCTTTAAATCTTCATTCACTCTCTGCACAGTGGGCAAAGCAGAGAGTTTTTTAGACTCTCCCTCAAGTTCATTTTTGAGTCCTATAAGTAGACAAGTAAAGCATAGTGGCAAAGCAGAGAGTTTTTTAGACTCTCCCTCAAGTTCATTTTTGAGTCCTAAAAGTAGACCAATAAAGTATCCTGGATACCAGCATTATCATACATAAGAAATTGGTTTAAATCTCGAGTACCTAAATGAGGAAATTAAAAATTAACTGATTCTAAAAAAGCTCTGGTTTGCCACTATGGGTTGAGGTAGGTACATGACATGGACGACTTACATGTTAACGACACTGTTAACACAGATATATTTGAGGGCTTCCTACCTAGGCTGGAAAGCTATAACAACAACCTTCTGAATGCCAATGATCAATTTGAATCTCAGCAACACGCATCCATGCCAATCCCAAATCATCCTGACTCCAACAATAAAGTAATTATCATAGAACCTGTTGCAGATCCTGATAGCCCTGGTGCTCACCCATTGAGTAAGTTCTTCTCTAATGATATTGCTATTAGCACAGCTCTGAGCTCTGGCTAAATCACCATTTGGTCAAGTGGGCATTAGCCACTTTACTAAGAACTCCAGACGCCAGCTCCTTGTGGTGACTGTGAAAGAGGATGCCCCTAATGATCTGAATCAACTTCTACGTGTAAATAAACTTGGCTCATGGAGTGTGAAGTGTTGTCTTCCTTTGAACCAGACAATGTGTTCTGGAGTCATTGGGCCATTTGGAGAGGACATATCTGATGAGGAACTAACAGCTGCTCTCAAGGAAGTAGGGCACAAGGATGTGAGCGCAGAGCGAATACTGAAAGGAAAACAACAAATTCGGACTTCCATGTTCAAATGTTATGTTATGTTATGTTATGTTATGTTATGTTATGTTATGCTATGTTATGTTATGTTATGTTATGTTATGTTATGTTATGTTATGTTATGTTCAAAATAGTGAATGCTTCAAAGTCTGTGACGTCATTGCACTTGTCTCGGAACGTTCCTGGACGTTTAGATGTCAATGGCAGTGTTTCCAGCATCAAGTGATGAATGTTAATGCAAATACAGATAGTATAGGCTACAAGCAATTTTCGAATCCCGTTATCCTGAAACTCGCTCATTATTAAAGCTTACCTATATGCTCACTGAAGAAAGGCATGTTCAAACTCACAGTTTACCTATAGAACATATCATTTTAACTTTACTCTATTTTCAAATTATCGAAAAATATTTAATGCGTATCAAATCACTTTTTATATATCAATTTTAACATCGAATTGCCAATTCGATGTTCTGCAAAGCCTTGCTATTTCCCACTATAAATAAATGATCAGGTACAGGCAATATCTCTGCACAATAAGTATCCTGGATACTCGCCCGAGCATCTCCAAAAGAAACTTTAGCAAATAATTATAAGATCTTATTAGTTTTCCATCTTAAACTAATGAATGTAAGAAACTAATTATCTTATTAGTTTCTTCCATCTATCGAACCTGGAAAACAGAAATCAAATTCGCATTTAATTTTAGAATTTTCCCCTCATTTTTTCTTTCATTAATTTCTTGACGATATGAATTAATGATCGTGCAATTACCACCGTAGCCAGCCCATTGACCATTAGTCAAACGTGCTAATATATATATTTAATTATATTATATATATTAATATAATATATTTAATATATATTTAGAAATATATTAAATTTAATTCAGGTATTGCGTATACGATTACAGCTCTGCAATGTGATCTTATACAATATTTTCTCGTGCGCTCTTACATTACAGTTACGGAAAACAACTATACCAAACTCGAGTTGCGCGTATTAAATGGTAAAGATGTTTCCAGAAATTGATTTCGGGACATATATCGTCCTATATCGTCCTGGCAGAGACCCTCCTGAAACCACACATGCATACCACATCAATACTCTGATTGATGGCATATATATACTGAAGTCATAGCGCAACCTATCTCCTGATAACACTTATCGTCAGTGATGCAACAGTCGTCCGATACCCTGAAAACATTGCAATATTGATAGTCAATACATTTTATTGCGTTTTATCCATAGAAAATAATTTTGATTGTGTCCGAACGTGATTGTAACATTTTTCATATCTATTTTATATGGTACATCTTTTCATTGGGGGGGGGGGGAGTTGGTGGCCTGATAAATATTTATTTATGGCTGTTATAAATTCAATAGTGACTCATGAATACCCTTATCTTGTTTTCAGATCGCAGGAGCGGAAGGAAGATACGCCTTTTCCGTCACCTCCTCTCAAGGTTCATTGGAATATTGATTGATATTATGGACTAGGTTATGTTCAACGATAGATAGATATTTAACCTTCAATGATAGTTAAATAAAATGCCGAATGTCCAGTAAAAATTATTTTCATAGTGAAAAGAGCTACTGATTCTGACATAAGAAGGGCTTTCAATTTTAATTTCATTTTATACGTTAAACGCTAATCATAATGAAGATTACTAACTACATCAGCGTTACGGCAAAAGCTTATATATATATACGTTGTTTCTTCACTACTTATAAACATACGCATGAAGCCACCACTTTTAATATTAACACTGTCACAACCATTAATAGTGGTATCATTACCACAATTGCTGATAGCACCATCAGAAAGTCAGCTCATATAGATCAGCTGCTGGAGAAATGGTGAAGAAAATAGTGAACAAAGTAATTTCCGGTGAAGGGAGTGGGCTATAAATAATCGTAGACTCAGCTGCTGAGTAAATAAACAATTGTAGACAAAATTGTACACAATATTATTCTGTTGAAGTATCTTCAAGATATCAAAAATAAAATATTGTACCTGAGTGGAGTTTTACTTTAGACTTGAACTTTCAGCTACGTATTTGTGGCATGGCAATCTGTAATGCTTGTGCCTAGTTGCTGGTGCTAATTATATGCAGTCAAATTTTAGTTGCCTGATTGTGAATAGAATGTCTGGTTCCTAATTAACAATTATACTATTATCAGATTGGCTTAACAACTAAATGCAGTTCTCGTAGACTGCAGGTTGGAGCGTCAGTCCATTGTCAATTGTTCAATGAATCGAAATAAATATGTTCTGAATATTTCAGGGATTTGATGGAGTTGGAGGCGCCACTCGTACGAGTGAAGAAGGCTTCGAAAATGTTAAAGAAACTGCCCCTGTGCCCATCACCGAAGACTTGAAGCCCACGGTAGGTGATCACTTTGTTACGAGGTTAAAAAGAAGAAACATTTTCTTAGCGTCTAAAGCAAGCTAATAAATAGTCACGACATTCAAGGGTGTTATGTAGTATAGGGGATTTTTTATAAATAGAACCTCTTGCAGTGTCTTACGCAACAACTAATCTCTACTCGTGCTGCACGGTGTTCACCAACCGTTGTCGGAAAAAATTAGCATATTAAATTATGCCTAATTGATCTGGATTTAAATTTATTATATATTTCATGATTAAGATACTGTTCCTTGTAAAGTTACTGAACTATCGTCACAGTGTACCTGTGCTGGAACTGCTATCTGCACATCAAAATATTGCGAGCTCATTTACATATATTATTCATTCCTCACTTCGAGTGAGTAATTTAGGGGCGTAAAATATTGTAAAAATTTTCAAGTTTCAGCGCTTCAAAACAAATTTGCAAGTCGTTTGAGTTATGTTAAATTGACTTAAAATATGATTGTGTTAATTAAATAGAATGATTTATATGACGGTATGCGATGCAGGAGCTGAGAGCCGTACAGCTCGCAACATTGTTTTAAGCTTTAAATAATCCGACATATCAATAATATTATTGATTCTACACACACATATTTTGCAGGCGAGTGAGAGTGAGCGTGAGCAAGCCGAACACTCCATCAACGTCCGCCGCGGGGATGGCACGAATTCGAGAGAAGAGGGTCATTATCCCGTGGAAGGTCAAAAGAAATTGTGCATTTTCAATTTTGAGAACTTCAAAAAAAGTGGTGCACGCAAGGGAAGTGAGGAAGATGTTAGAAAATTGACTTCGACCTTCCAACAAGTTGGCTATGAAGTAGAGCTGTATGAAGACCAAAACAAATCAGAATTTTTGGCCACCCTCTTGAAAATCAGCAAAAACGAAGAACTTGCGCGCAACAAGCTTTTCATTTTGGCAATAATGAGTCACGGGAGGCGATCTAACGGCCTGCAGTTCGTGGCTGCTGACGACAGGAGCATCAGCATTGATGAGGTCAGGTCGTACTTCAATGACCGTCACTGCCCTCAATTGAAGGGCAAACCAAAAATTTTTTTGGCAGCATTTTGCCGACCACTGCCCGAGATTCTTCAGAGTTCTTCAGAAACATCCATTGCTGAAGCTGATGAACCTCAGGGCGAGTTAGTGGAAATTGATGTGCCTCCAGCTGGAACCTTTCAACTTGACTCACAAGACCAGCCAAATGTCACTAGTGAATCTGGTGAATTTGAAACAGAAGCTACGAACAAAAATCTGGAGCAGGTCAAGCATTTGTTGCGCTGTACCGAGGAGGACTTGACACCAGATCAGATAGAAGAGATTTTAGCTATGCTCGATCCAGAGAGCGTTGACCTTCTCTTGCAAGCAGCCGCGTCGGGATGTGAAATAACTTCAGTTGTAAGCGTGGACAACTTAAACGCCGAACCACAAACCCAAAGCAACTGTGGCGAGCAGACCTTGCACAAGAATTATCCTAAAGACTTCAACGACATGATGACGCTGTACTCCTGCAAGACGGGATTTCGGTCTTCGAGAAACCGCCGCGTCGGCACGCGTTTCATAAGTGCGCTTTGCGACGCGGTTGCAGAAAACGGCTACCGTTACAATGTGGACAGACTTTACGCGGACATCGAGGAGAGAATGAGGGTAGACTGTCCGGACGACAGTGAGTCTCTTGAAACATTTGATCCAGACAAAGAAAGTTCGACGTTTAAAACATGCTATCTATTCTGAAGGATCAAGATATCGAACTTTCATATCCATAAAAAGATTTATCCAATAATATTTGAATTAATTCTTTCACGTTTTATGGGTTCGACGTTTATTTTGACGTGGGGTTAAATAGCTAATGTTGAGTCTACCAGAGCAATTAATTCAACCACAAATGACATCCAATTTTAAGTAATTTGTTATTATACGGTATTGCATGATATCTCTTATAACCCGAAGCATGAGAATTTGCATCTGAAACACTTATATGAACTCAACGAACAACAAAAAATATATCTATACATAATCACATGTAATTGATTGAGTGCAGTATAATAATCAACAGTTGTCATTCGTACTCGGCATAGGAAAAGGGTGCGACGATTTAAGCTAAGGTGTTCATTTATTCGGCTCAGTCATCCATTCGCTGCCAGATAACGCTAGCTAACTCATTACTGCTTATTAAATACATACACTTATATAGTCTTTAACTCCCGCATCACTGCTAATGAATTATATACACTTATATAGTCTTTATTTGTTGTGGTTTGACGTTTCCGATAATTTGTAAGGCAATTGTGGTCCGTTGATAGCTTTTAATCACTGATTTATGTTTACTCCAAGGTTTATGAAAGATTAGTCGGTGTGTCATGTATGTTTACCACAAATTATTCGCTGCCTGCTGCAGGTTCAGACAATTCAGTTTAAAATCAAATTTCGATCCTGTTTGATTCATCAAGTATTAAAATAAATTAAAATGATGCGTCAAGTGGAGATCTAATCACTGTAAAAATTTGGTTTAACTCCACATATTTTGTTTTATGATGATAAATTTGGATGATAATTTTTTAAACTGAACTAATTAAATTGAGTTTCCTTATTAGCTCGAGAATTTTTATCATAATAAAAGGCTATGTTCAACTAGAAATAAAATTTTTATGCCGAAATTTGAATTTTTAGTCTCATTAACTTTGCCGCATGAGGCAAAGTCGGCCGAGTGCGCGTGAGGGCTGTTCATGGAGTGTGCGTGAGGGCTGTTCATGGGGCGTTCGTGAGGGCTGTTCATGGGGCGTTCGTGAGGGATGTTCATGGGGCGTTCGTGAGGGATGTTCATGGGGCGTTCGCAAGGGCTGTTCACGGGGCGTTCGTAATGGCTGTTCATGGGGCGTTCGCAAGGGCTGTACATGGGGCGTTCGTAAGGGCTGTTCATAGGGGGGTTCGTAAGGGCTGTTCATGGGGCGTTCGCAAGGGCTGTTCATGGGGCGTTCGCAAGGGCTGTACATGGGGCGTTCGTAAGGGCTGTTCATGGGGCGTTCGTGAGGGCTGTTCATGGGGCGTTCGTAAGGGCTGTTCTTGCAGTGTTTGTGAGGATTGTTTCATGTAGTGTTCGTTGGGCTGTTTATGCAGTGACGGTTGTTAATTAAACAGATTAGTTCATGCGGCTTGAATAAAAGAATAGTTCGTGAGGGTTGTTTATAGAATAGAATAGTTTGTGAGGGTTGTTAATAGAGTGTTAGTGAGGGCTGTTCCTTGCTCGACGTGCTCTGAGAGACCACGTTAAGTTAATCTTTTGTTGGCTCCGTAGTGGCGGATCACAAGTGAATTGCCGCGTGTTTTGCGGGTCGCCTGCCGTAGACCGGGTTGCCTGCCGACTGGAGAGTGGAGTCGAGTACGGGAGTTTCGTGGTACCCTGTCGTGGTGTTAGTCTCTGTGGCGCGTCCGAAATGAAGGTTGATGCGGGGGTTCTGTTCTAACCGTTGAGGCAAGAGGTTCCTTGTGCTGAGCTCCCGTGATAGTAGCCGGCTGCTACGTCATTGTTCTGGAACTATCTTTCTCGAACTTTGAAAATGCTCTGCTGTCCCGCTCCGAGGCGTTGAGCCGGCGAATGGTACGAGTTACGACCAGCTAAAGTGAAGTTTAACTCCTGAACACCTATAAATGCTCCCAGCATCAAACTGCAAAATTCGTTACAAAGATTTTAAGTTGCCTCCATGTGTGGTAGTGGTTAGTGCCCCCGGACCCACACTCAGGATGATGTATGTTTTCGTTGAATTTTCCCGCGCATTTTCACTTTTTTAAGCTATTGCTGTGCACAGTTGGTGCAATGTTATGAAAATTGATTATCTTCGCGCACGTGTTCGCGCAATCCCGGCCATCTTTATTTTAGAAGAAATTTTCTCCAAAGTCATATGGCAACACTGAACACCGTCTGTTTACATTTCGTATGTATAACAGCCGCAGTTTACGATTACCGTACGTTCCGTATCCAACAAGGCGGACAACCAGAAGAGTCAGAAGTAACCCGGACATGTCTTACATTTTATTATTGTCAGTTCGACTCGCGTAGTCAATATACTCGCGTATATTGTTGACTAAAATAGTAGAACTATTTTAGCTTTCTAAAGTACGCTGTACGGCGCACGGCGCATTTTTTTACCAACGTAGTACGGCGCACCGCGCAGGTCGTTAAAATGACAAAATAAATTCCCACGCACCTGGCACATCTTCCTGACCATGGCCCCGGACCCCGGTTTCGTGG